ATGTACATGAGTTCGCGACAGAGAGATATGTGTATGTGTGAAAGAAAGCTCCTACATTCAACACCTACTTAAAACCAATTAGTTTCACTATTTTCCTGAAACTGCAGTATACGTAAGTGATAGATGTGTTTATAAATGATATAACTGCATTCTCCAAAAAAAAAAAGTCATTTTCCAATCAGATCCAAATATATAGTGCATTCTAAAAGTTTAACACTCCCGTAATCTCCACCGATAAGCTATCAAAGTTCTCCTAATTACTGTCAGACCTACCAACTGAGACAAACATGCTATAACAATTGACCTTGTGGTCAGACCCTCTCTCTACATGCTTTGCATTATCTAATAACTAGAGCCTTGTTAAAATTATCTATTAACTCTGAACTCTAGTTCCCAACCCTAAGAGCAATATTGATCACTATATGCCTCTTGTAGCATGTGCATGAAACTTTCTACAAAAAGTAAATCTTATAATTCTAAACCCCATTATCCATTTTCTATGAATATCTCACCTTCCCATTTTGCTTCTGGCTCTTAATTTTGAAAGTTCAAATGCCCGGTTTCAGGCATCCATTCTGAATCCAACTTATTCTCTTCAGACCTGAAATTTCTTCATCAATCCAGTAAATATGAACGAAAACTCTAAACAATGTATTTTGGCCATTTAACCTTAAAACAGCAGGAAACATGTGTTGGTTAGCAGTGCAGGTTATTCATATTCTCTTCCATTCAATTTTGTATGCATAATGGCCTTCAGGTCATCATAGTCTTCTCAACTACAATTGACTTTGGAACCTGCTTTCCACTTTCGACAATAAGATTATGTTAGAAAAGTTGGTTGGAACTTTTGTTTCTAGAAAACCGATTCCAAACCAGAATCTTATTTATTTAGTTTACAGACAAGTTTTCTTCTCATTCTCTTTCTTCTAAGATAGAATCTTCCTACAGAATGTTAATGTTTTATGACAATCTAGAAAGGCTAGTCCAGCCAGAAAACAAAAAGTTAGAATTGAAACACCGCTGATCATTAATCCTATATTAGGTCAAATTAGTTGTTGGCTAACGTCAAATTGTGGTAACGGTTCAAAGTCAATCCAGGCATGTTCTTTATCACGTACCGTACGTATCTATCTTTTAAGTCCTTTTTCGTGTATAAATGAACTACAATTTTTCATATCTTACCAACTTCATACCTTGTTGCTTCGAAAAGATTTCCTCTCCGCATTTTCAAGCAAAATTTTAACTCATCTTGCTCTTCCTGTTTCTACCTAATCTGTTATTTATTAAATCAAACTAACCACAAAATTCCCAACCATAAGGTTCACAAGTAGAAACATTTCGAGCCCCATATTGTTTTATTTAAAATATCAGGTTCATCCTTCGATGAAGGACGCCAAGGTTATGAACTTCATAAGAGAAGCACCCTAAACAGCTCCAAGTTGCACTGCTTGACAGTCAACTAGTTTGATAATTGTTTCAATAGTTGCTCTCAAATTTGAAAGTTGAGGCATCATGTAAGTTCATCATTTTAGTCATGACTGCCATCTTCATAACCAAGCGGAAACATGTTCCTTAAGCAAGCTGATTCTAGCAAATGTTAGATACCCCCATACATCTCAAAAGATGTACTTAAACCCTAAGCAAAACCGCACGAAATTCAATTAACAATCAAGATATATCCACAGATGAGTACTTTTCTAGTTGCATGTCGATAAGCAACCGTCTGATCCACCTAAAATATCACATTTCCAGAATCACTTTGATTTTCTTTTCATTTTTAGTCCTACAAACATCACTAACAAAATCAAATTTTACCATAAACCCTAAACAAAATTCCTCCTTTTTTCTCGTCCGATCCTTACATTTGACACCCCGAGTGTTTCTGTCCGTAACAATACACAGAAAACAAACAGAAACTTAAACTAGAAATCAATCTAACAACACAAAGGTTCACAAAATGCGAAGAAAATCCGACATGAATGAGATAGAACAAACCACACAATGAGTTGCAACATCTGATATGACACTCGTCATATCGCCACTCAAAATTCAATTTAAACTCTCGCGAGGAAGAAAAAAAGCATCAAGGAAAGCGAAGAATCATGCACAAAGTATGTTCATGAGTTGATTCTACCTCATCGGAGACGCCATGCGAGAATCGCTAGAGGAGGAGAAAGAAACGTACTGAAACTGACGAGTTGTTTGCTAGTTGTGAATGAAACCAGTGGCTGCTTGGCGGTTTAAAAGAGAGTGTGCAGTGATCTGGTGCGGAAGCGACACCGTATTTTATTTTGAATTATGCCACGTGGCAGAAGTTGAAGGAGTTAACGTTCTTGTGTAGATGTTTATCTCAGTTAAGCATTATTTTTAATATTTAATTTATTACTTTGATTTTAAATTTTATATTCTTTATTCTAAATTAATAAATATTTATCCTTAATGAGCAATAAATAAATGTTAAGACTATTTTAAGAATAAAACTTTTGTAATTATAAATTTATATATAAATGTTAAAATATCACAATAATTTTTATTAAAATTAATACTTTAATTAGTATTAGAAATTCCAAATTAGATTGTTGAGCATTATGTTATAGGTAATAAAATATTTTGTTTTTATATTTTATTTTCATTATGACTTAACTTTAGTCTTCAACATACACCCATTAGTAGTTATCTACACATCTTTTATTGTTTCAAGTGAAAAATTCAACAAGCTAAAATTCAAATTTTATATTTCCTAACATATATGAAATATAATATATGGTTTTTTTTTTGTAGATATCACATCAATATATATATATATATACACAACGTAAGATTATTATATAGTGGGGGCATACATATTTATTTTAAATTTATTTTAAACCTAAATCTATTTAGCCCAAGGTCAAATCAAGGAGAGCCCAGAAAAATCAAACACAGCCCAAAAGAAACCAAAATCTGGGCCCAGCCCTTTTCTTGGGATCAACCGGCGTCGTTTAGCCGCCCTCTGCCTAAGGACCAAACGGCGTCGTTTAACGCTTTCTGCCTAGCACCAAACAGCGCCGTTTCTTGTCTTCTCCAGCCCTTCAATCGACCAAGAATGAGAAGGGCGCGGGCGTTAGGAAGGAGGCAGGGCTTCTGCTTGTCCAAGAACGCGAAGAAGAGAAACGTACAGAGATGCAGTGAGGTAGTGGAAAGAGAAAATGAGAATCAGAGAGAAGAGAGGCAAGCATCTGGGCTGTCATCTGCTTCTTTCTTTGTGTGTCACCTGCAACGAGAAAAGTAGAGGTTAGTGACCGGCTACCGCTCAAGCCGAGAGAGGAAAAGGCGAAAAGAGAAATTAAAAATATAGTGTTTTCGCTTTTGGTGAGGTAACTACGTCCGAGAAAAAAGGGTCAACAATGGGGTTCCTGGAGTGAAGATTCCAAGGATGCATGGCGGCGAGAGTACCGGTTTGAAAGGGACTGATCAGAGGAGCACTGTAGGGTTCACAGTTCCAAGCAATTTTAGACACGGAGAAGAGAAGGAGACACGGTGAAGAAGGGGAGAAAAAGAGGGTGATTTTGATACAAAAAGAGAGAAGGAAGAAAGAGGAAGAGAAAAGGAAAAAAGGAAGGAAGAGAGCCATCAAGCTGAAGGTGCCAGGGGATTTTCTAATCTGGACCCCTTTGATAATTTCTGAAAACCTAACAGTTGTAATGTCAGTGTGTGCTTAATGAAAATTGTGAAGGTATAATTTAGTAGATATGATACGCAGAAGAAGTTGAATCTATTGAAATGTTATACTTGGGAATGAATTTTTTATGAAGGCATGATGTAATCTATATGATGTGCAGTGGGAGTTGACTCTGTTTTATGAAATGTTATGCTGTCATGGAAACTGGAGAATGGACGAATGACTCTACAGAATTGAAACTGTTTGAGTTTGAATTCATTGTTGCTTAATTTTTGTTTGAGCATTTGGAATAATGAGATTTAATTTGGTTGAGTTTGTGAATTGAAGCATGTTTCTGTCAAGTGATGAAGAAAGTCGAAACCTTGAGTTTGGTAGTTTAATAAGAATATCCTTGAGTTGAAACCTTGAAGCATGTTCACTCCACTCTTTTGAGTTGTCTTGCTTTGCCTAAAGGAATCATTTGTTTTCTTTCTCTAAATCTGGTTGGAAGCAGTAAACTAATTTTAATGCCACATCTTGGCATCTCGAAATGTGTTATCAAAATACTTTTGGGCTACTTAAATGGATTAATGGTACTTCCTTTTCATTTTTACATTCTTAAATTTATATTCTTTGCAAATTTCGTTTTTGCGGAGCTTTATTCTCTTGTCACGGTTGTGACATATATGACGATAATGTTCATATACATTGGAGCCAGGGGAGGTGGGAGCCATGACTACCGACCGCCACCCCGTGCCCCCTTGGCTCTGCCAATGGTTGGTGCTCTGTCAGGATGTGGCATAAAGCTTTTTGAAAATGACTACGATGTTAGGGGCTATTTCCTTTAGAGGGAGGAAGTAGATTGGTGTTTTCTGTGTTTGAGTAGAATTGACAGTAATTGTTATAATGTTACTTCTTGCATTATCATAAACTGCCAACAGAATATCTTTTTTAGAGTAATGTGTTTTGCATCAACTATGGGAAAGAAAGTTGTCTGATTTCTTGTTTCTAAATTTTGCTTATGAAGTATGTTGTAAGTAGATAGAATGACCTTCTTTTTATCAATTGTTATGGATTTTGTTGTAAAAGGCTTAAACTCATGACTTTAATTATAACCACTAATCTTCTGAGGATTTTAAGTTTCTAGCAAAGGACGATAACAAGAATTACAATCCTCATATATTTGTTTCATCAACTCAAGCAATCATTTAATGATTTTGATTTTTTTTTCCTGGTCCAATTAATTTGGTCTTCTGCATGACACTTAAGAGACTAGTGCTTGCTATGAAGTTGTTAACTTGAGTTTTCTATAACCGTATCCTGTTTCTGTTTGCATATCTAATATAGCATAGTAGATGGAAATAGTATTTAGCTGTTTTTCATAATTTAAATGATACTCAATTCAAAGAGTCAATAAGAGAAAGATGAAATTAGGTGCTCAGTGTTTTAATTGTTTAATTTTGCAGTTGTGATATTCTTAGTTTGTATATAAAATGGATTTACCATGTGGAACTAAGCCATATATCCAAACAATTATCAATATGTTATTGTTAATGTATAGGCACCATTTTCCCTCTAAATTTGTGTCTATCTCTTTTTTAATAATCTGTTTTTTCGTTCTGCAGACTCCAACTCATTTCATGTATAGCTGCTATGAATAAACTATCTCGAACTACAAATTCTTTTGCTGCTGTTGGATCAGGGTCAATCAATTCACTGAGACCAGGTAGTGAAGATACCATAAATGATGATCAGTTTTTCCTCTTGTACTTCATCATCGGTACGTACTTTGGACCTGATCTGAAAGGGGAGAGGCAGCCAAAGTCAGTTTTACAGAGAAAAGATGAGGGCCTTTCACCTTATACTTCCGACCAACTAGCTAATTCACACATGAAGACTGAGGAGCTGAAACAGGTGTACTATTATGTACTTAGAAAGGCAGATCAACATATAAGCTCAAAATTGCTCTATTTGTTTGTTAGGGGAAAGCTTTCAGCCCTTGGATGTGGCCACACTGCTAGTTATCCTGAGTTTCCTGATCTCTTCCCTCTGGAATTGCATCCACAAACATGGCATGATGATCACAATGCAGTTATTGATAGCATTGTCTTTATTAATAACCCAGATTTTTCTTACATGAAGTTAAAGGATTTTCAAAGGTTTAGGAGGCTAACTGGGCTAGATGATTTTCTTTTGGACAAAGACTCTGGACAGTTAAATGTTTCTGAGGATAGTGATAGATACAATACGAGGATACAGGTGGTTGAATACAATAAGGGCTCTTCCCCTCTTGGATCTTCTCCTCATTCTCGAAGAAAAAGAAATGTGTCTGAATCAGAGGATCAAAATATACATGCACCTGCCTGCAGCAGTATGTATAGTCATGATGCTCCTTCTGTACCCCCAAAAGATGAGAACAACTCTGCTGAGCGATGTAGTTCAGCTATGATATTTCTTCCTTCTCACCCAACTAAACAAGAATTGGCTGATGTTATAGCTGCCACCAAAAATGGATTTGCATTGACTGGGAGTGCAGCCATGGGTCAAGTTGGCCCTGTTGTCGGAAAAGTGGACATCGGTGAATGTGAAGACTCTTACCTGTTTCGTGTGTCTCTTCCTGGAGTGAAAAGAGATGAAAGTAAGTTCTATTTTAGAGCCTGCAGCCTGCTTTTTATTTATTTAATTTTGTTTCACATGGTAGCTCTTTCTTTGATATACTGAATGCATAAAACTTTTCTCGAGTTCCTTTTAAATCTTTCCGCTTTAGTATTTCAATGATCTTGAAAAAGATATTTTTTCCAAAAAGAATAATCTGATGTACTTCTTTAAGTGTTTGCATTAAAATCATCTGATTCTCTTCTGCATTTGTGAACGTTAAACAGAAAAAATGCTTTATCTCATTTCCCTCTTTTCCCCTTCCTGGGGCTAAGGCAGTATTAACACACAGACTATGTTTGGGACAAATTTAGAAATTATGTAAAAATCATTTGTAGATCTACACTTAATTCAACTAAAAGAGAATGTAAATTCTGGTAGTGGATAATAAAAAATATGCAATTTCACATTAAATTCTATATGAAATCAATCTTTATGAGCTTAGGAGAACTTTCCCTACTCTATTTAAAGCTTAGTGCTGGTGTGCAAATAAAATTTTAATCTGAGTTTCTTCCAAATATACCCTTAGTAATATCACACTTCGATATCATTTGCTAAGGTAAGAATACTTTTTCATTCTTCTCTCAGATTACTTGTCATCAATTGACAGAATATATGTCTATTGATTTGTGAGTGCAGGGGATTTCAGTTGTGAAATTCAGAGTGATGGGAAGGTGTTGATAAGGGGAGTGACCGTAGCAACTGGTGAGAAAAGAGTGTGCATGTATTCCCAAGTGTTTGAAATGCAATCACAGAACCTTTGCCCACCAGGACACTTCTCCATATCGTTTCAGCTTCCTGGTCCAGTTGATCCTCAACTTTTTACTGGTGATTTTGGCATCGATGGGATCTTTGAGGGAATAGTAATGAAAAAGAAAAAATAACAATCCAAAATCACGCTTTTGCCTTGTTAGTAAAACCTCTGTAGTCTCAAGATGAGCTTATGTATGTATATTTCTCCTATTGAAATGGTTTAGTTTGCTTTCAGAATGGCAAAAAACTCAATTCTTTTCTCACTGAGATCTCCTGAAGTGATGAACTATCTAGCTGCGTCCGGTGTATTTTGATAGCAAAGCTGTCTGTTTAGAGATATTTTGTTTCTCTGCAAGACTGCAACATCACTATGTTAACTGCAAAGAAAGCAACCCTAACGAGAAGGTCATCAACCCTAGTGAGGGATTTTTTTGGTGGGTTTTTGTATGGGTCATTAATGGTTGAGACTTATAAATTCATGAAACCTATTTTTTTTTAAAAAAAATATATGTATATGGTTAGATAATATATTTATGTTTGTTTTATAAATTTTTCATAAATAATTAATATTTGGTAAAAAAAAATTATTTAATTCCATATACGAGTGGCTTGGTTTAGTTTATACCAGATAAGACTTGTAATTTATGAAGCCCTCTTGAGATTTTCAAGAAAAGTAGAACACTTGCTTTAGCTTCATGTATTTTATGTTGCTTTTCATATAAATAATGAAAATTTAGTCAAATTTATAAGTAGAAAAGATAACAAAATAATTAAATAAGTATATATATAAAAATTTATAGTAAAAATCTATATATATTCTTCAAAAAAGAGATTAAATAATTTAAACCATTTAAAACTTAAAATACACAAACAGAGACCAAATATCCTCACGTCAAAAGAAGAATGACCCTGCTATATTTCCTGGTTCATCGTTGACTTCCATCCATATATCTATACATACATGTGTGTGTGTGTGTGTGTGTGTGTGTCTTTTTTGCTTTTTTGCGTCAAGAGGGAAAGTCAAGTAAATAAACATAACCAGGATAGGAGGCAGAAGCATTATGTTTAAAATTTAAGCAAACTTCAAGGTATAATTTCTATTTGTACATCTTTGACCAATGTTCTCAGATTGTTGGTAGTAGATTGAACGGCATTAAGAAAATGGTTGAATCAACATCAACACCTATCCTTTGTAATGCATATAGAAATTTACAGAAAATCTACTTGTCTTCGCCTCAACCGTCCGAGTTTTCCTCCTTTCGAGGATGACCGAGGACACCTCTGCCACCTTGTCCCATTCTGTTGCCATCCCAGAATGTTGTGGAGTCCACTCTGCAGCCAAGCAAGTTGAAACAAAAGATGCACATATAAGAAACAAATTAATGTTGACATTTATAAAAGAGAGTTTTTAAAGATCATAATGTTAACGGATAGAATACTAGTGCATATAATTAAATTTACGAGCTCGAGCTTACAATAGTTTTATACGAGAAAGAATTAAAAGTTTAAACCTTCTACTATCAACGATTGACATTCACCAGCAAAACCTTAGTTGAAATCTTACGTAAATCTTATGTTCTTATATTCTGGCACAATCCGTACGAGAAACTAAAGCCTAGGAAGAAGAAAATCCCATTAGGATCTGCTAATATACACTCCCACGGCACAAAATCGGAAAGCTTAACCACAAAAGGGAAGAAATTCATGGTAACCAGAACTCATACTAAACTACAACAACCATGGTAGTTCTCATTTTCCCAACATATAATTCAATTGGCAATTATACTTGCAGTTTCTTCCTGTAATCTCACCTATTAAAGCTACATATGTAATTAATCCATAAGTTTAGTAAAATTTATTTATAAATCTAAATTAGTTTGACCAAAGGATAGTGAAATTTTCAATAAAATACTAAAAATCAACCTCATATGAAGTTTCATGTGAAATTGAAATGATATACTTAAAATTATTTCAATTGTGCAAGATTCAAGTTTAGATTTGCATATAAATTCCATTACATTTCTGGATTTGTTCCAGACTAGCCTAAAGAGGCAATATAAGCACTTACCTTTTCCCCCCAGCTTCTCACGTCAGTCACTAGTGACCCGAAGGTGACTGCTGTTGTTGTTGCTGCTGCTGCTGCTCTGACCCCTGTGGCCACCCTTGCCTAGCCATGTAGTTGGGTGGCTGCTGGGCATATAAAGCAGGGTCCATAACAGGCTTCCCCATTATCATCCCAGGAGCTCCAAACTGCGGCATGTGAGGAGCTGCAGGCATGTATCCGTATGGAAATGACTCCGCAGGTCCCC